ACACCCTGCTAAATCAAAATCCCATGTAACACCATATATCTCAAACGATTAAATCTGCTATTAAACCCTCCTTGTGTGGAGCCTGACCAGAGCACACTGGACTCAAACAGCCAAGAAGGCAGCACTATCACACACAACCTGGGAAAACCCATTCTGGAATTTAGCCCTCCTCCCAAAGGCTCACCCCACACTGCTCAGCCAGTTTTGCCTCAGCTCTGAAATTCTGAAAACATCATTCTAAGAAACACACTTGCGCCTTGACCCCAGCTCTGCACTTCATTTTCCACTACACCCAGGTTGAAGTGTGCATACCGCAGGACTAAAAGCCAAAAACACAGAATCACAGTAATTAACACTTTGGCCTCCTGCCATGAAGGATCAGGATTTGAAACAGACTCCAATATGCTATTAAAAAATGAGAAGGTAAAATGTAGTTCTACCTGCGCAGCAAGTAGCGATTATTTATTTGAAATGAAAACACTTACTGTTAGTGAAATCCTTTTATACTTGTATCCCCGATCCTCTACACGTTTGAAGTTTGACTTGTCAGCCTTCCAGAAGCAGAACTGTTAACGTCTTGCATACAAGTCACTTTTGGGGCTGTTCTTTTACCCTACAGCTCTAGATACATTATTGAAGCCATGAATTTCACAGGAGCTGGTACCCAACTAAAGTGTCTCTAAAGCGCACTGCAAAAGGCACAGCTTCCCGCTGCCCCAGATACAGCAATTCCTCCAGGGAATGGAGAACAAGAATCTCTAAGAGGGTTTTGCTGTTAAATCTTTTCTTGTTAAGACGCGGAAGAGAAAATCTGCTTTGTGGCAGTAGCACTGCGGGGAGTTAAAACCGAAGGGTCACAATAGAGGCACATTTACAACCAGAAGCTCACTAGAGGAGAGATCTAATACCTTGCAAATGCCAAACACGGCAAGTTTCCAATAGGCAGCTGTTCCTCCAGAAAACAACAAAAAAAAAACCCTAAACAACTCATCATACATGCAGGCCCACTGCCACTCCAAATTAGAATAAACAGCTACACAGAAAACGTATGTGGTGACTAAAAAAAGCAGCGAGGAATTCAGCCTGGTGTAGTACAAACACAGGGAAAGGGGAATTCGAGCCTGCCTCCATTTCCTAGACACTGTCCTCATTACTGAGCAGCAACACATGGCTGTCCATAAAACCCAGTCCCTCCGCCTACATCCTTATAAGAGACACTAACAAGTAACTTTTTAGAGGCTATTGCAAACAAGGTGCTTTTAAAAAAAGAAAGCTTGAAAAGAACATTCCTTCCCTAGTTGGCAGACAAGCTCCCCAAACTCACACCTCTCCAAGATCGCGAATTCAAAATTAGAGCCAACATGGCTCCTTTTCTTTTTCTTTCTCAGTGCTGTTTTCCAACATGAAACACCCAGGTTCGACTCAAAAAACCCACTGCTCCTGTTTTAAGCTAGTAACATTTAAAGTGGTTTCTGGCGTAGATGTCTGCTCTCACATCCACAGTAATGAGTTAAAAGGGGAAATTAAAAACTTAATTAAAAGGTAAGGTTGGAAAACTGAGCAGCTTCCATTCCTACCCTTCTACGAGGAGGAATGTGTGGGTGGGGGGAGGCAGTGTGAGACATGAAGCTGTAAGTCTTTTTGCAACACCCTGCATTGAAGCCATCAGACACGCTGTGACTGGTTAAAAAAAAAAAACAGGAAGACAGGAGTGACACCACTCTAATAAAAATTTTAGATAGCGCTTAACTTTCAAGACTGTAGAAGAGGTGCTCAGCTAAGACAGAACTTTCTCTGCTGTTACACGGAACAGCTTAGCCCAGTTGTTTCTTTAAAAGCATCTTAACAACGGAGGAACTAAGCGTTAACAGCAGCTGACGGCACCACACCACTGAAGGGAATCCCTGTCCATGACCAAAGGCTGCCTCCAGCCCAGCGGCCTGCGATGAGCAGGAAAGCAGAGCCATGACGACTTATGAATCAACTCTGCCAACCACTCACAAGGAAATCCCCAGGTTTGTACCTGTAATTCCTCAGGTATTCACAACAGTGCTGTCACCGAGAGTCAGCCTTTGCAACCACAGTTTCACCTGCTCCTGCTCACTCCATAAATTACACTGGGAGTGGCCAGGGTGGGGGCAGAGAAGTGGAAAAGAGCCAGGAAGAGAGAGGATGGCTTCTTGGGTAGAAGGACCAGTTCCCACCAGCCAATGGGCTAAGATACCAGCAACAACTCACTGACCAGACTGTACTGGCCCAACGCCTATATTCATAACACCCCCCAAAAAACCCCTCCATGAAGAAAAAAATCACCCTGATGCAAATAAAGATCATCCTTACTGGGAAAGAAATAACGGGCGTGAAAGTAGTACCAGACTTCATCAACAAAAATGAATACACATACTAAGTTAAAGGCTCTTTGAGCTTTCAACTACTAAAGACCGTTTTTCTGAATTTCACTGGCAGCTCCCGAAACATTTCATGACGTCTGCGGCCAGCCCAGATACCAAAAGCCATGGTGATAACACTCTGGTTTAGGAAAATAAACATTAAGTATGCCACAGGTTTTAAGAGGGTATTCACAGGGCAGCCACTTACTGATTACCCAGACATGTTAAGTCAACTTGCTTTAAATACGTCGAGCAACCAGCTGAGAGAAACAACAGCAGCAGCTATGTCAAAGACCAAAACAACGTGTTGGAACAATGCTTACACACTACTGTATGCTTCTTTATTTGCTACCAGGCATATAAAGACTAATTGAAGTACTAGTTTACAAGACATAACAGAACTACTTTTCTAACCTGAAAGATAAAACCATCTACTTTAAAAGCCTGGTACCAGGCAGTACCCGGTATCACTGCTTCTGATGGGGGTGAGACTGCTCCAACATTATCATGTAAATGAAGAGTTCACACTCTAATTATAACAGATTGGGAGAGAGCCACCAGCTTTGTTTAAAAGAACCTCATTTCTGAGAAATCTACTAGAGTTTATGAATAAAGGCAGTTGATTTATTTGAAAAAATATCACGCACCAGCATTCCCAAAAAGCTACCGAAGTGTCTCCTGTAAAGGCTTTTGAGGAAACTAAGCTGGACTAAGGAGAGTCTATGGCAGATTAAAAGAAAGGAAGCAAACCTAGGATGAATCCATAGTGAAAAGAGATTCCAGCTATAATTTGTTCAGCAGATTCATAAAAACTAGATGGAAGAAATGAATAGATATGCAACAAAACTGGCTGTTGATCCTTTGGAATAGGGCACAGATTTCCAGGACAGTAAAATCTAAAGCTGTTCACAGTTGCAGAAAGCTCTCACGCTGCCAAAGGACTAATAAAATAGCAGATAAACTCTGTAAACCGGTAGATAAAAGAGGAATGCAGGTCAGAGAAAGGCAAACGTTTCTACTTTGTGTTAACCACTGCAAGGGAAAAAAAAAAAAACAAACAAAAACAACCAAAAACAAAACCAAAAACGTGTTCTTACAGCGAGTTTCCTGAGAACATTAGTTTGCTGCTCAGCAGCAGTCAAAACAGGATACTGGGAATTATCACAACAGAGAGGGAAAAACACTCATCTAGAAAGCCTTTGGTCTGAGCTAGTTACTTAACGCCTCTATATATCTATCAGTGAAAGGCCACACACTCAGCCACGTTCATGCAGTTCTCAAGAGTGGAGAGAATAGCTGCAATGAGCAGCCAAGGTTCAGAGGAGCTCACCACCATCATCTAGCACAGGCTGGCCAATGTTGGGAGCTGCTGTAGCACAACAGACACAGCATAAACTACAACACAGAGCAGGCTAACACACTTCAATCTCAACACAGTAAACATAATTAAACATTTAAACAGCTTCCTACAGGACATTATAATAATTTCACGCCTATAATCAAGAGTGAACGTCTAAAACACATGCTTTAGTTCATGGCTGGACACAGCAACCCCGGTGGTGAGGACACCAGCTCTAGTCACACAGGACACAGAAAGAAGCAGCGGCTTCAGCAGGCAGCTTCGGCAGTCTCCGAAACGGAGGTGTTCTTTTCACCATATAGATAGTGTAGGTATAACCCACGGCTGCGCAGGACAGATGGAACATGTATGGCAAAGCCAACTGCCACCGTGCCACTGCGCCTGGCAGGAAGCACTGTGCCATTAAGTCTTTGGGACAACATTTCAGGTTCAGTTTGATCAGCTGCGATTAAAAACCACAAGATACATCCCATAAAAACACTCAGCCGCGGTCCTGCTTTGGAACAAAGTCCAGCAATTGCTTTCTCTCCACTAAAGCTCTAGAGGCTGGCTCAAATGGACACAACGCTTCTGTGGGGCAAAGCGCAGAAAAGCTAAGCTGTCGTGGTGTGCGTTAGCTTTGAGCCATCTGGGGTGGGTTTGTGAGCTGTTGGGAGAGCCAGAGCAGCTCCTGTCCATGGGAAGGAGCTGGATCTAGCAACGCACGACTTATTTCCCAAGGGAAATTCTGCTACAGAGGAAGAGGAAATGGAGACGCACTAATTAATGCTACGGACCACCTGCGCTGCTGGCTGAGCCCCCAAAACCAACTCGGAACCCGCCAAGAGATGGAATAAGCGCAGCGGCGGGACCTCCCGCGCCTCTCCCAAAGCCAGGGCATAGTTTTCTCTGTTGGCATCACTGTGCCCAAGCACAGGGCGGTGCCAGCAAGCTGACTCCGGCCAGAGTTCGTTATATTTTCCTGCAATAACCCGAACGCCACAGTTCCGCCACGGTAATTGCGTTCTTTCAACCCCACTGCAACGAGCACTCGCCCGGTTGCCCCTGTGAAACCCAGTCACACACACCCCCCCCCGCTTCCCCGCGGGACGAAGCCCACGGGGATCACGGACCCGCGCGCCGCCTCATCGCGCCGGGGCGGCCTAGGGCAGGGGAGGGGCCGGGGTTGCCATGGCGACCTGCGCCCGGGACGGGCCGCTACGGCAACTCCGGCTCCCCCCCCCACCACCGGCATCGGCTTCCCCGCTCACCTCGGAGGGGCGGCGGGCGCGCCGCGGAGGGCCGGGGCGGCTCAGCGCATTCCGGGCGGCGGAACCGAGCGAGGGGCCGGCGGACACCGGCGGGCACTTCCTCTCCCCGGGCACCGCGCAGCAAGGCGCCTCCCCATAGGCTGCTTCCCTGCACGTGACCGGCGGGAGCCGCGCAGGCGCAGTGAGACAGCGCCTCTCCCCCCGCCCCGATCCCGCGCGGCCGAGAGCGCGGCGCTAAATCAGAGCTGCTAATTAACGGGGAAAATTAAAATTTGCGGTGCGTCCTTGAGCACAGGCGTTTAGGAAACAGCACGTGGGGGTTAGTCACACGCTTCTCCCGCCCTTTCCCTCGCTACTACACTGCAACGGGTGACCTGTCACACTGATGGGACTAGAGATTGATAACGACTCTAATCCTGAAATTAGAAGTTTTTAAGGGTTTTTTCAGGTCGCTGAAGCTCTACAGTGAGATAAGACTGTTCAGTTGGATGGGAACTATAACAATCAAGTCCAGCTGCCTGACCACTTCAGGGCTGACCAAAAGTTAAAGCGTATTGTAATATTATTTACCCTCCCTTTCCAGAGAAGGGCAAAGTCTCCTTCCCAGCTGTTTCATTTCAATCATATTTTCCACAGCTTCCACCTAACCTCTCTCATTTTTGCAATTAGGCAGCCACAGCCACCCCATCTCGCCCGATGAGGACAACAGCAGCAGAGGTCTTTGTAACGAAGTCACTGATGTATGGAAAGGACCCTTCTTTCTCGCTTTTCCACCCATCGGAGGGGGCTCGGAGCACCACGGCACGACGACAGAGCGTTTCACCGTAGCGCTAACAGCAGCGACTGCTGCTGACCTTTGTGGGACGGCCCCACGCCTGCCTGCGCCTCGCTGGGAGCTGGCAGTGCGCCGCAGCCAGCCTCCGGATGGTTTTCCACATCCCATCTCACCCCAAAGGTTCACGAATCGCTGACTGAGGCGTGGAAAAAGGGAATTTCCCAAGCCTGGAGGGTGATGGGTGACTGCAGCCACGAAGGGGTTCTGTTCCCTCCCTAGCACAGGCCGAACCTTCTAATTGCTGTTTGAAAGATAAAGTGGCGGAATTACTTTACGCTTCTTAAATTGTTTCCTTTAATAGGAAATGCTGCTTTACTCTACCTTGTGCTTCTGAAACAAACATTTGTGTTCCAAAAATATACAGTGTACACATACTCTGTAGCTATAGATACAAACATTTACAAAGAAATGAGCAGGCTGGAGCGGACTAGCTTGAAAAACCTCACGCCTTTCTTTCCGGCCCTCCTAGAGCAAGACTAGCTGGGCTCACCATGTCACAAACAGATCAGGGCTACTGAAAAACACGATTGTTTCATATCATACCCTTGGTGATTATATTTCTCAATGTGGAGCCAAAAAATTTCCACACAGTGCAGAGGTTTGAAGTTTCCATTGCGTCTTCCCACCCCTTCCTTTTGTCCCTACGATCTGCCCTAGTGTCTGCATCCCACAACCAGACTGACTGCAGCCTACCCGCCGGTGTCTTCTCCGCGGCTGAAGGGCTGATCCCTCCCGCGGGCATTGCTCAGCTTTACACCAAAGAGCAAAATGTGGTTCCCAAGACATTTGGTTTCATCTGCAAGGCTTCCTCAAACTAAGGGAAACTGGGTACACTCTACAGTCTTAGCATTTTAGCGAATAGGTCGGTATGGGAACGTCATTCCTGGTATAAATGTTTGTACGGGGTGAGCCGGGAGCGCCGGGTGAGCCGGGAGCGCGGGGTGCGCGGGGTAGCCCAGAGGAGGAGTATGGATGTGAGGATAAAATCCTGGTGGCAGAGCGCCGTGGGTCGGTTGCTGTACTGGACCTGAAATCACCAGCTGGAGCAGGCTGTGGAGAGAAATTCATACAGGAGTGAGGGTTATTTAGAGAAGGCTTTTGTTGTGGCTCTCCCCAGCCCACAAGGGCCTGGCTCTAAGGACAATTCATAACCAACACACAGCACTGCTGAGAGGCAAGAGGACAGCAATTCAACTGTGCTCTTCACAGCTTCCAGAATACTTGTTGTTTTTTGTTTTTTGGGGTTTTTTTGTTTTGTTTTGTTTTTTTTTTTTTTAAACTTGGTTGCTCTTTGCAAAGAAGCAAAGTGCAGTTCAGCTTAGGAGCAGGCAAAACAAGCTGGAGTTGGGGACACGTTCCATGCTGTAATTTTATTTTCCCTTTCTGTGCATTTGTTCTAACACATGCTGGGCAACATAATCTCTATGGTGGGAGTCACTGAAGTCTCCTTCAGTCAAGAGTCCAGCTTGCAAGGGAGGAAGTAGACAGTACTGTCTATCACCTTTACCCTCATGCTAAACTATGTGTGAATAAAGGAAAACTTCCATAAAGTAAACAGAAATTTTTAGAGGAGATTTTGTCTCAGCAGCCCTCAAGTGTGTGTCTTGGAATATGCATCAAAACCTACACAGCTGTAGAAAGGTCTCTTACTTGTTATGCGGTAGCCTGGAGCACACAGTTCTCAAGTCATCTGAAAGAGGACAGAAAAAATAATAAGGGTAAAGCAGAAGTTAAAGCAATTTTCCTCTCCACTCTCCTTTCTAGGAAAATGACATTACTGAAAAAGCTCCAGTCATCAACAGATCCAGAATCCCATTCTTAGGTCAAAAACTTCCATAGAGGTAGAAAAACATTTTCTCCCCACCAGTTATTACCTCTGCTTTCCAAACCAGACACCTTAATGTATGTTTGACATTTAATCTATACTGCCATATGGGAAATGCAGCTTCTCTTCAAGGCAGACCAAGGCTTAGTATAGAATTTGCAATACCAATATACTATCAAGAAGTAACTAAGACATAGGAAATACAACATATGACTGTCCACCAAATATGGCATTTATGATGAGAAAAGCATCAGGTCAAAGCAAGGCAAAGCTTACCTAATATCTGTTTTGTATTGGTTTGGGTTTTTTTAAACAGTGCTAGTGTAAAGAAAGGGTGAGGGGTTTTTTTGCTGAGGTCTATCAACTGGAAATTGCACCTTTTTTACCATCTCCAAACTTCTGCTAAAGCAGAATAGCTACAGCTCAGGTATTTAACAACATATAATGTTGCTAGAATCCCTTCAGGAATAGCTTGAGAACAAACTCCTGCCTTTGTAGCTAAATGCACTCCAAAAACACTGAAATAACTGGTATTTCAGCAGCTGCTTATACTGAATTACCTTCCGCTTCTACAGTAAGAGCAAGTGCTTAGAACATACCAAGTGAACAGTTAGGAAAAAAACAGCCGAAATAAGCGATCAACTCAAAAAACTCCTCTTTTCTGCCCGCTCTTATTACACCCAGAGCTAATTTCTCAAAGATTAGAAAGAACACTGAGATTTAACCAGCAGCACCGCTTCAGCCAGGGCAAAAGCCTCAGGCACCTGCTTAGGCAGAGGCCACTCTCCATGACTGGGGTCTGCACTAACTGCCCTGGCTGCTGAGGAGCTTTAAGCCTTCTGGCTGCCCAAAAATCACCTGTTTTCAAGAGAATGTATCAAGAAAACACTACGTCTGGCTGACCCTTTGCTGTGCTGAGGTACTTCCTTTTTTTGTCTCTGCAGGTCTTTCAGAAAGAACTGGTTTTGGAAACAGGAAAGACAGATGACAGCCACGTTAGCAGACTCTTTACTAAGTTTAACTGAAATTGTACACGCTGTAATGGAAACACTCATTACAGGAGAGATGAAAGCCCAGAGGGTTCCAGATGAAGAGTTTTTGTTTGCTTTTCACATTCCTTGTCTAGAACACCCATGCCATGGGTTATCTGCTTCATGGACCCTCCTCCACCAGGCAAACTCAGAGAAACACAAATAGACAGTGTTTTTTCAATAGCTACAAGCAATCCTGAGGGGGTCAGATTTGTCTCCATGCTGGACACCCAGCTATAACCCCCTTGTGCAGACTCCAAGGTCAAAGATCAATTCTTCAGCTCTGCAAAGCAACGCACCGGTCACCTGCATCAATGAGCTCTCCTTTCTTACTCCCCATCCAGTTATTTTTCCTGAAGTGTTTCCTGCACTATCGCTTCCTAAGAGTAGCAAACTACTACTACTGCTGTGTACACATTGATTTTTACTCTCCCCATCCCAAAACTCCCTCATCCAACATCCACCCACTGGAGGAAAGGAATCCCGTGCCAGATTCTCTGCCAGCTCCACCAACAACTTACCTCTAGTGCACAGGAGTGCTCCTGATGCCATGGCCACTTGCAAAGCCTGAGCCAGTCTGTCTAGAGACAGTTCAATCTCTTTGGATGCATTGAGAGGATTGAGTTCATCAGATAGTCTGTTAATTTCCTCAACAAGTGGAACCACATGGTCAAAGGGTACTAGCCCCAGGCGCCCATAAAGGTTCTTCTCCGTTAAATGCCCCTGAAGCATCATAAGAACCTGCAGGACACTTAGATGCAGTTTTGAATACAGCTGATGGCAATCTCTGTCTTCTCCTGAAGTCGAGTCCTTGGCAATTTTGCTGGGGGGATGTCCATTTGAGAGAGAGGCTTTCTTCTTCCTTTTATAAGCCAAGGGGGCCTTCACACACCAACGGATCAGTCCAGTCAGTGGGGTGAGCTCTAAAAACCCTATTGGCAGGTTGGCTGCAATAGGAGTGTTTAGAAAGGTGATGAGGATCAAGCGGGGATCTTCAAAGATCCAGGAAACAATCAACTCAAGCAGATCCGAAGGAGGGATGAGGTCATCTGAAGATAGAAAGTTTTTGTTGGGTAAGACGAGCCTTGTACTGAAGCACAGGACAGCAGTCTTTAATTAGTCTCTCACACACACCCTTCCTGCACTGTCACAATTACCATATCAGAACCCCCCCAACTCTGCTGTTTTTTTCAAGACACGAAAGGCAGATTCACCTTTGTCCCAGGGAAGACACAACCATGTTCCTGTCAACTTCACCTTCTCCACCTATTCTGAAGACACCACCAGAGGCTGACATTTATCCCATTTCCCAGGAAAGCTTCTTTTGTCATTTCCTTCTCTCCCTTCCATCATCTGCTCCCTTTTTCTCCAAACTCAGTCTCCATTTATTCCTTGCCACGGGAAGTACAATGGGCAAGGGAACAGGAAAAACTTGTTGGCAC